AAAAAAAGGTTTCTTCTACCTACTACGCTAAAGGAAACCTTTCTTATTTTTTCTAATATCTACTTCTACTATATTAATACGAATGCTTTCAATAAATTATAAAAATGTACTTTTACGTATCGCTCAGCATACTATTGGCTACGAAACATTTTAATTTAAAAAATTGATAAATGTACTTATGTGTCTTTTAACATAATAGCACATAACAAAATTACCGTATTTTGAAATACCTATAGCGCTATCAAGGTAGAAGAATAGGTATAAGTTGATTGTAATACTCAAATGAAAGACTATGATATTTAGAAATAAAATAGGTGGAAACACGGTAAAAAAAAAACTCAAAAATGTATTTTTTTTATAGGATAAGGGTGAAAAACGAGCACACAGTCCACCTGATGGTAAGTGGTTGCCGCGGCTCATAGACATTTACATCTATCCTCTGTTACAAATCAAAATGTAGATGCGATGTCACCCATGAGGTCTAATGGTTCAACCCCTACGTAACACAACAGTAAAAGTCCTATCCAAATCCGTGCTCTAGTTTTAGTTGATAGACAACGATTCCAAAAAAAATGTTTTGATTTGTGTATCGATAACATAGTGTACCCCAATTCAAATTTCAAAAAAATATTTAATGTACAGAAATCGTCTTATTAAAGTTTTATTATAGTATAGATTTCATTATTGTCTTATTTTTTTTAAAGAAATAAAAAAATTACACATAAATATAGTACAAGATACAATACCTTCTTGTGTAATATCAGTTAATACTTTCTGATAGTCGTTGTCTACCGTTAATTATGTATTATCAAGCGCTTACATATTTTACATAATTGACAAAGAATAAATTCAAACTATTGTTTTATATTTTGATTCCGGGATTCCGATTCTTCTCGGCGTTTTTTCAGTCCATAAAATTTAATATAAATTTCACATAACCGGAATTTACATGATTGAAAAAAAATACAAGGAAACAAGATAATTTTAACCTCTATCGTGTCCGAATGCTCACTCTCTGTAGCTGCATATACATTTGTGCAAAAAAAACTGAGAAGCAGGCTAAGTGCTGAGACCATATTCCTATACGTGGTAGTACCATGCTGCAGCCATATTATAGTTGTAGCACGAATGGGTCGGCTCGTCCGGGGAAGGACCACGCTCTCACAGAATACTAGCGTAAAATAGCAGCTCAACGCTGCTGTGTTTCGTATGGTGAGTGTAGAGAACCGGAGACCCTTTTTACTGGATACAAGGCATTCCATCTTAGTCCTCACGGGTGACAACGCATCTGCATTTTGATTCTTAATCGAGGATAGATGTAGATGTCTATGGGCCACAACAACCACTTACCATCAGGTGGACTGTGTACTCGTTTATCACCCTTATCCTATAAAAAAAAATTATTTTAACAGTTTGTACAAGATTAAAGATTCGTAAAATTTTTGAATTTGTTTATTTTATCAAGAAAATAAACAAACTGCCGTGTAGTGGCGGTCAAGAATATCCACTACCCCATATCCTCCCGTGGGTGTCGTAAAAGGCGACAAAGGGAAACAGCCAGGAGATGGGCAGCAGCATCTTCCTGATAATAGCCAAATTACAATAAAAAAACTGCGGTTGCCAACCCGCTCGCCAAGCGTGGCAACTATGGCAAATACCCCCCAATGATGAGAGCAACAAAAAAACGGCCCCCAGTCCCCGGCGGCCCCGCTATTCCTGGCTACGGTGGCGACCATGGTAACGGCGGGGCAGGGGGTGCTAAGAATCTCCGGTGGAGGTTCGGTTGCCACCTTAGACGACTCGACCTGGCAACGTACAACGCACGCACCCTGAGGACTGACGAGAAGATCGTGGAGCTGGAAGAAGAGATAGACAAGTTGCGCTGGCATATTATAGGATTATCCGAAGTCCGAAGAGAGGGGGAGGACACGGTAATCCTCGAATCCGGCAACTTGCTCTATCACCGGGAGGGCGACCATCTGTCCCAAGGAGGTGTCGGATTTATCGTCCACAAGTCTCTCGTTAACAACGTTGTAAAAATCGGGAGTGTGTCGACGAGGGTTGCGTACCTTATACTCAGAATCACCAAACGGTATTCGCTGAAGGTCATACAGGTTTACGCACCAACCTCGGCACACCCCGATGAGGAGGTGGAGGAAATGTATGAGGATATCTCTAGAGCCATGCATTCCTCCAAAACCCAATATTCGGTGTTAATGGGAGACTTCAATGCAAAACTAGGCACAAGAGAGAACGGTGAGCTGAAAGTAGGGAAATTTGGAATAGGGCAACGGAACCCAAGGGGCCAGCAGCTGGCCGACTTCATGGAGAAAGAGGGACTCTTTATGATGAACTCTTTCTTCCAGAAGCGGCCCCACAGGAAGTGGACCTGGTCGAGCCCCGACGGTTCCACAAAAAATGAGATTGACTTCATTATGACGACCAGACGACAACTGTTCAGTGATGTCTCCGTGATCGCGAGGGTGAAAACTGGTAGCGATCACCGAATGGTTAGAGGCACACTGAACCTAAACGTTAAGTTGGAGAGGTCTCGTCTAATGAAGTCAACGCTCCGTCCCCCTCGTGCTCTGTTCCAAAGTCCCGAAACCTTTCAGCTCGAGTTACAAAACCGTTTTCAGTGCCTGGAAGACTGCAATGAAGTGGACGATATGAATGACAAGCTCGTGGAAACTGTCCATGCGGTTGGAGCTAAGTTCTGCAAGACCCGCCGCAGAAGAACACAAAAACTCTCCGATCACACTCTTAATCTCATGGCTGTTAGACGGGAGATGAAGCTACATTCTTCAACAGACTTGACAGCATACAGGCATCTGAACAGACAGATCTCCAAATGCACGCGGCGGGACTTACGTAACTTCAATACAGCTCGTATTGAAGAAGCGATCGAGCGGAACCAAGGCTCCAAAGTCTTTGCCAGAGATCTGTCTGCCAGAAAGAGCCAACTGTCAAAGCTGAAGACAGAGTGTGGCAGCATCGTTTCCGGGACACCTGAGATTTTGAGTGAGATTGGGAGGTTCTATGGGCAGCTGTACACATCATCGTTGGAGCCACACGCAAGTGTGAGTAACGATCCAAGAGCGAGTCTCATCCGACACTATTCCGAAGATATCCCGGATGTCAGTCTGAGCGAGATTAGGATGGCTCTCCAGCACCTTAAAAACGGTAAGGCCCCAGGCGAGGATGGAATTACAGCGGAGCTTCTGAAAGCGGGTGGAAGACCGGTACTTGAAGTCCTTCAGAAGCTCTTTAATTCCGTCCTCCATGGTGGCATTACACCGGAGGCGTGGAGCAGAAGTGCGGTGGTCTTGTTCTTCAAGAAAGGTGACAACGCTCTCTTGAAGAACTACAGACCGATTTCCCTTCTGAGCCGCGTCTACGTGCTGTTTTCGAGAGTCATTACGAATCGTCTCGCGCGCAGACTTGACGACTTCCAGCCTCCCGAACAAGCCGGTTTCCGAAAGGGCTTTAGCACCATAGACCACATACATACCCTTCGGCAAGTTGTACAGAAGTCCGAAGAGTACAATTTGCCACTATGTCTGGCGTATGTGGACTATGAGAAAGCCTTTGATTCCGTCGAAATTTGGGCGGTGCTGCAGTCCCTTCAACGGTGCCAAGTTGACTGTCGGTATATCGAAGTGTTAAAGTGCTTGTACAGTAGGGCTACGATGGCTATCCGAGTACAGAACCAGAGTACGAAACCTATCCAATTGCAGAGAGGTGTAAGACAGGGTGACGTCATATCCCCGAAACTCTTCACTGCTGCATTGGAAGACGTTTTCAAGCTTCTGGACTGGAAAGGATACGGTATCAACATCAATGGCGAGTACATCACTCACCTTCGATTTGCCGACGATATAGTCCTTATGGCAGAATCGCTGGAGGACCTAAGCACTATGCTCAATGACCTCAATAGTGTTTCCCAACGGATAGGTCTTAAGATGAACATGGACAAAACTAAGATCATGTTTAATGTCCATGTCACACCTATGCCGGTAGTTGTTGGGAACACTAAGCTCGAAGTTGTTGACGAGTATGTTTACCTGGGACAAATAGTCCGACTGGGTAAGTCCAACTTCGACCGAGAGGTCAATCGACGGATTCAACTCGGCTGGGCAGCGTTCGGGAAGCTACGACACATCTTCTCGTCAGACATACCTCAAAACCTTAAAACGAAATTGTACAACCAGTGCGTGTTGCCAGTGATGACTTACGGAACTGAGACGTGGTCCTTCACTGCTGGCCGTATGAGGAAGCTCAAGGTCGCTCAGCGAGCTATGGAGAGGGCTATGCTCGGAGTTTCTCTGCGTGATAAACTTAGGAATGAGGATATCCGCAGTAGAACCAGAGTGACCGACATAGCCCAACGGATTAGTAAGCTGAAGTGGCAGTGGGCCGGCCATATAGCTCGAAGAACCGACAACCGATGGGGAAGAAAGGTTCTCGAGTGGCAGCCTCGTACCGGTAAGCGAAGTGTAGGGCGTCCCCCCACGAGATGGAGTGACGACCTGGTAAGACATGCAGGAAGTCGATGGATGCAGGTGGCTCAGGACCGTGTTTTGTGGCATTCTTTGGGGGAGGCCTATGTTCAGCAGTGGACTTGTGAAGGGCTGTAATGATGATGAATGATCAAGAAAAAATGCTACTAAATGATTTATTTTCTTTAAAGTTACCTTTTTTTAATGATTAATAAATATTATTTATGTTATCTGTAAATAAAAATTTGTTTTCTTACATAACTTTTATATTGTTTTTATAAATCTATTCTCAGTCCGATCCCGGGATCCCAAAATAATCTTTGTACAATCCCGGAATCCCGGAAGTATGGAACGAGATCTAATTCCCTACTTACGATACGGTATAAGACATGATGATGAATTTTCTTAAGCAGCCCCTCGTGTGACATTAATATTTTATATGAAAAAAAAAAGAGTAATAAATACATTATCTATAAGAAATGTTAAATTTTTAACTTGCAGCACCACTTCTTGAAATATTAAATGGAACGTCATTTATCGCAATGAGATCTATAGCAACTAAACTTGTTACTGGTCAAGAATTTGGTAAGTAACTTCTTTTTTTTTAATAATAGTTTTCCAGGTTCAGAATCTAAACTTCAGATTTCATTTAAACAGCATATTTTTGAACACAGTTACAGAAATGTTCTCTATTAAAGATATAATTATTCTTATGAAGACATTGTTATTATATTAGAGATATAATCAGCAGGGCGAAAATCTCTGTCAAAATGAAAAAGCAAATGAATTTTCAACATGCCAAAGTAGTTCTATGATACTGCAAAATTATCTAGGCTGAACACTGTTTTGGTATTGTTTGCTTTGATCATATACCTGTTATAATTAAAGGTTGTTTGTAAGATCAAGCAAAACGCAATGATTTTTATTGAAATGTTCGCTCTTTAATGGAAGTCTTTTTTCGTTATACAAATATAACAAATACGTATTATTTCACATAATAAAATTTCATTAAGCCTTTTGTTGACGAACAATTAAATTGGCGAATCATCAATATCATTATCATCATTACAGCCCTTCACATGTACACTGCTGAATATAGGCCTTCCCCAAGTAATGTCACAAAGCATGGTCCCGAGTCACTTGCATCCATTGATTTCCTGCATCTCTTACCAGGTAGTCACTCCATCTAGCGGGGGGACGCCCCACATTTCGCCTGCCGGTACGAGCCTGCCACTTGAGAACCTTTCTTCCCCATCGGTTGTCGGTTCTTCGAGCTATATGGCCGGCCCAACGACACTTCAGCATACAAATTCTTTGGGCTATGTCGGTTACTCTGGTTCTACTGCTGATCTCTTCGTTTTTAAGTCTATCACACAGAGAAACGCCGAGCATAGCCCACGTGTGTGTGAAGTGAAGTGAAGGACCACGTCTCAGTTCCATAGCTCATAACTGGCAACACGCACTGGTTGAATTGGCGAATAAGAGAATATTATTCTCATAAGTTTTCTTATTAAAACTTCTTTTTCATCACGTTTAAGGGGGAATCTGCTTTAATTCTCACACTTGGCAGGTGGGTTAACGACCGCGGGTTATCAGACTTCTCGCATCGTCAATACTGCTGCCCGTCGCCGGTCTAATCTCGTGAAAAGTCTGGCATAAAGGAGATGGTTTCATCGGAATTCATAAAATAATTTAATATTTATTTTAAACTAATTTTACGAAGTTTAATATTAATTGTAACTTAACCTAATCTTATGAGCAACAACTTAAAAAAGGATATAAAGCACCCTTCGGTTGTGTCATTTAAATATTTAACTGAAAAAGAATAACCTGCCAAGAATGACAACTATAACAAAAATGACTCTTCAATAAGGCAATCTCGGGGTGAAGTCTATGTTCATCAGTGGAGTTGTAATGAATGAATGAATGAATCATATAAAATGAAGATTAAACCTTTTTATATCATGGCGAATGACATCCACAAAGGCGAAACTTAAAAAAATTACTGAACTTTAAATACACACATATAATAAATTTTTTTAACTATTAATCAAATTAGTGTTTTTTTTATATTCAGGTAAAGTTAACTCACTATTTGGATTAGCTGAGGCGATGACACCTCTCGTTTATGGTCCTTTATACTCCAGAACATATATGGCAACACTGAACGTTCTACCTGGAGCAGTTTTCCTTTTGGGAGGATTATTAACGCTACCAGCTATTGCTATTTTTGGGTAACACACGTTTGAATTAAATCTTTTTAAACTTTTTTAAACCTTATTAACAAAACCTGTATTTAGCCTTATTTAGACTATAGTCTTAATTTAAAAAAAAAAACTGAAATCATAAACGAACTTACAGTCAATCTAATGATAAGTGTACTGCAGTCTATGGACACATGTTAACATTACAGCCTATTAAAGTCCACTACTGAACATAGACCTCCTCCTCCATTGACTGCCTCATAGAAGGGATATTTACCATAGTTGCTACGATACAAGCAGGTTTGCAACCGCAGTTTTATTTTTATTTTAGTCGTTATTACGAAGAAGATTTTATACGTGGTAGAGCCATGCTGCAGCTATATTAGTGGTATAGTTGTGGCACGAATGGGTCGGCTCGACCGGGGAAGGACCACGCTCTCACAGAATACTAGCGTAAAATAGCAGCTTAACACTGCTGTGTTTCGTATGGTGAGTGTAGAGAACTGGAGACCCTTTTTACTGGCAAAGAGGCATTCCATCTTATCCCTCACGAGTGACAACGCATCTGCATCTTGAGTCTTTATTGAGGATAGATGTAGATGTCTATGGGCTACAGCAACCACTTACCATCAGGTGGACTGTGTTTGCATGTGCGTTTCTCACCCTATCCTATAAAAAATCTATATCACATTAAAAGAAAAAAAATATGTATGCAGTTCACACACGTGAGAAGTGAAACATTCAAATGAAATGAAATATAAAACAAAAATATTTCACAGCAAATGATTTATTTAATTTCATAATTTTCAACCACAAGTGCGGCATAAAATATAAGATAAATGTTTAATTTTATAGCAAATAAATATTATAATACTTACTTTTAGACACGTATGTACAGCCTAAATTTTAGTGTATTAATTAAATAAAAATAATATTTTCTTTTGACTAAAATTGCTTTGTAATAGCGACATCTACTTCATTCTATATGTAAAGCAATTTTATCGAACAAAAATTATTGATTCTCAAGGTGGCCCGGTCTATTAATCGGTAAAATATGAAATCTTGGATTGTTAAGAATGGTTTGGGTATGATAACTTTATTCAATATCATTAATATTATATTTTGATAAATTTGTAATTTTAAACAGTAATTTTAACAGTTAAATATTATATTAAAAATATTTAAAGAGACACACAGAGAAAGCCGGGATATTAGGAAACATATTATCCTTTACTAGCGTCTGAGCCGCGCGACATGTCACCTCGCTTATAGTAGAGGCTTATAGGGTAGCTAGGCGTCAATCGCGCGCCGCACTGATTGTTGAATTATTGTATTTTTTTCATTTTCTCTTAAACTATGCTTCCAAATAATATGATGTAATAAGCAATGTTTATCTTCATAAAATTTTCTTGATGATGAAGTAACTTTTATTCGTAAGGATTATTAAGCCATGCCTAATAATAATGCTCATAAATTACTTTTTAATTTTCAATAATTTTACTTATTGTGGTTCACGTGTATAAAAAATAGGTCTATGGTATTGAGAACTTTCTTTTAGATGGAAGAAAGTTCTATATTTTTTTAGAACATTGTATTTATGTATCACTAATCATTACGCCAGCGCACGCGGATAAAGCAGTTCTTAAGCGCTTCCTCTTCCAACTTGCTTAAAAAAAATTAATAATTAAAGCTAGCTGATAGACGTAGCCTACTGCTAGATAGTCTATACTATTTTTCATGAATCTGGCTATACTATACAAAAAAATAATCAAATCGGACTGGAAGTTCCACAGTTTAGCGTGTTTAAACAAACAAAAAGCTCTTCCGCTTTATTATAATATATTAGTATATAGATTCTATCTCATTATTTCGCAGGCTAAATCATATAGACGTATATGTTTGTCTCTTTTTAGTGTTGCTTTTTCGTTTCATGCCGTTTTCAAATCACAACAATACTAAAGAAGTTTCACTTCAAACTATTGTTTTTTTTAATGTAATCTTGGTAACAGTGGTCAGATACAAAGCTACCGCGAATATTTCATAGTACGTAAACAACCCGAGTCCAATTCCCACTGGCGCCATCGAAATTATTAGTTGCAATTTGTTAAGTGGTGAAGAAAATTATCGTGACAACTGAACTTTATAGGATATACCGTTACATTTTGAATTGATTTAAATGTTGTTTATTTGTTTCAAACCGTTTTAAACTTTTATTTTAAAATAACAATTTTAGGCGCTAACTATTATGCATAGTAGAACAATGGGTAAACGATTACTACGGTCATGACATTATGACAGCTCGGAGTTGGCCCTTGATATGTGGCGATCTCGTTTGTGGATCGGGCGAATATTTGGAGTTGACGGTTGGACGATTGTGTAGCGTCATTATCATACAGTAACAATAGTTGTTCTTAAATTGACTCCCTAATAAAAAAAATTCTCAATATTAAAATTTTATTCATATTTACCTTGTGATTTTTATTGCAGGTGGCTCTATTTTGAGCATCAAAAAGATAAGCGAAAAGCAGCAATAAACTCTTTTGACTCTGAAAAAATTTAAATAAGTTCACTGTTAATATATAATTAAAACAATATAGATACAGTGCTTTTTATAGACCTGTGTTAATTGAATTATTGTTGTTTAAGTAAAATAATATTATACTTATTTTTATTTTTGTTTTATTTTAACCTTTCTTCCAACTACACGTTATCGTAAGTAAACCTTTGATATCAGATTCATCTATTTTTATTTATAATACAATACACAATTTATTTAAAAATGCATGGTTGTTTTGCGTTGAGTTTGCTCACTGCTCTCATGCAAGTCTAAACAAATTGGACACATTTATATAAAGTCAGATTATTATATATTTTACTGAACTGTCTAAAGATAAGTTACACCTTATACTACATGTATCTATTATAAAATTGATGACTACTTGGATAGTTAAATTAAAAAAAAAAATTAAACCTTATCGCTGCCCCTATAAGAAAGATCATGAAAAAAAGTGGGTGGGTTTTCACGTTACGGTTCTCTGAAAAGAGCTCTTGTCTCTATAAATGTTCCCTCGGTTCTAGATCCTTGTGAAATATTTAGACACGATGAAAAGAGACCCGACGGTATGACATTGATCTCTTGGTAGAGAGGTACAGCCCTGGTGTGGGATGCTACTTGCGTAAACACTTTGGCAGCCTCATATCTCGGGGGTCGTTTAGAGCCAGGCAGGTATGAGAAACAGCTAAACTAAGTAATTAGAGCAAATATGAGTCTCTGAAAGATGACTACATATTTATGCTATTTGCTGTAGAAACTATTGGTCCGTGGGGTCCACGTGCGGTAAATTTCATAAAAGAACAGAGAGCAACACCATGAGTGATTTTATTTGAAAGTGTGCAGTGGAGTACACAGGAGTCAGGAGTGGGTACTTTCAGATTTAGTGATACGAAACAGCTGGTTGAAATTAGTTTAAAATAAAAGTAATTTTGAGTAAAATTTAATTAAACATTGACGAACTAACTTGGCGAGTAGTTGAAAATAAGAGAAAGTTTTATCCTAGTGAACAAGTAAGTGCTTTGAAAAAAACAATTACAATGCAGATAAAACATTGTTAGTGAGTGAGAATAAATAAAACTTCCCGATCTTTTGAACTCCTGTATTACTGAAATACCTAAACTAACAATGAATGATTTTGTGATTATACTTGGCTTCACAGAAGATGACAGCATTTCTACGGTGAGAGATGGACTTGAATTATGGATTCAATCAATACCGAATGCAAATATAATTATTTGTGAGCCCCAATTTAACAGATATCCTAAAAAAACAAAATTGAACGAAGAATTATGTAGACTATGTGACAAATACGAAAATGCTTCATTTGTTGCGATGAATTTTTGTTATTTTAATCCAAAACTACTGAGATAATTATTACGGTTGTATTCTACTTTGAAACGTATTGTGAATTTGACTTATTATAATAAGGGCTCCTATAATATGTATTCTACTAAAGAATCTCATATGACCAATATGACATATTGTAATGTAATATTTGCTAACAAAAGCACTCAAACGGACATTAACTTAAATATTTCTACACGAGACTCTCTCCTTAAGGATGGACCCTTTTAATTCAAATTCGAACGGTAATGATTTTTTTCATCTATAATTGTGTCAACATAATGCACTGAAACGTTAGTGGACTTATTGCTAAATCAGATATGTTGACTGTTTGTTTGCATGATTAAGTAGAGATAGGCAAAGCAATCGATGTGCTGTCTTTTTCCGAACACAATATGGTAGACGATGATATTGAACTCCTTCAAATCCCTAACTGTGTTTTATCCTATCATTTTTCTCGAATCATCCGCAGAGGGGGACACGTATTCTGGTAAAATATAAAATGAACTTTACCGTAATATAAGGCATTCAAAATTTTAATATCCCCAGTGTTGTGCTGTTGAATTAGTAGATCATAAAATGGTTATACTCTTTATATATAGAGTAGAATGAAAGAGCAAAAACAAAGAGCAAATAGTCTAGTAAATATCTTGACATATTTTTCAATAATTTAAATAGCATCTTATGTATTTTGAAATTACTTGTATATATAGAGGTCAGTGATTTTGACTAAAAATGGCACAAAAAAATCGTTGTCTATGGTGACTTTAATATAGATATGTTGAAAAGGAATAAGAATGCCATCGCAATAGAGCATCTCATTATTGGATTTAACCTAAAATAATCGTTCAAAGAACCGACAAATCCAAGCATTAGTTCCTGTATTGACAACATCTTTCATAACATACGTGGAACTAAATCTGATCTTTTTTGGGATGGAATGGAATGGAATTAGGTTTGTCCGACCATAACGTCCAATATTTATGGTATCCTGTAAAAAATACCTGTTTATTTAAATACTGGTTCTCATATAAATGTGATTATTTTGAGTGTAATTTGAAAAAGTTTAAAGAGTGCATTAATGCGCTCAAATTCAGTGAATTTTTTGAAACAAATGACGCGAATAAAGCTTTCACTTTGTTTTATGATTTATTTAGATTATTTTATAATATATTATACTTTCCTATATTAAAAATTAAAAATAAGGCAAAAAGCGACCAAAATGGCACTCTGTTGGAATCAAAAAATGTAGCAAACATACAAGTTCACGCTTATGGAAATACAGATTATCTTAAAAATAAATTAGTTTTCGAAACATATTCTAAGAGGTACAGTAAAATTATAAAATTAACTCAAAAATCTCAAAGTAATCGCCTCCAAGAAAAATCGCTCGCCAAAATAAGCCTCTTGGAATGTTATTAATGGCAATAAACTAAAACTACCCCCTAAAAATATTAATGAATTGATAATAGATGATCATAAAATTACAGATCCTCAGCAAATAGCAAAATTTTTCAATAATTACTATGCAGATTTGGTTTAATCTCAAAATATAAATAATAAACATTCGTATAACTCATCATATAACTTTTTTAAGTAATTTAAAAACGCTAAAAGTACTTACTGGTTTTGATGAAATTTGTGTATCCACATTATTAACTTATGTTTTGAACAGAGTATTTTTCCATCAATATTAAAGACTATAATAATTAAATGTCTCAATAAAAAAGAAGCTGAATGCGATATTAAGAATTATAGACCAATTGCCCTAACTCCTACATTCTCTAAAAAAAATGAAAAGGCTATATTTAATAAATTATATAATTACTTCGAACGGAACAACATCTTTACCGCTGAACGAATATGTCTATAAGCCTAGCTATCTATGAATTTTTAAGTATGATATACCCAATATTGGATGCTAGACAACCTTCTAATGCCTTGTTCATGGATATGTCAAAGGTCTTTTACTTTATGGATCATGCAAAACGAGGTATATGGTGTAAGGGGAAATACTCTCAATTTATTATATGTACCTCAGTGAAAGAACTCAAATCATGAAAATAAGCGAAATTTGTTCCAAACATAAAAATGAAATATATTTTTATGTTTGGTTTTCGATTGTGTTCATCATGATACATTAATCAGGAAACTACAACATTACGGTGTAAAAAATTTGGCGCTTAAACTTATTACTTCATATTTAAGTAACAGAACTCAAAAAGTCGTCATTAATGGTAAATGTTCCTCCGGATCGGTAGTATCAATGGGCGTTCCTCAGGGCTCGATTCTTGGCCCATTCCTGTTCTTAATCTATATTAATGACTTACCTTATCTTGTAGGGGACAATCACGATATAGTATTATTTGCTGACGATACCTCTTTAATTTTCAAACTGAAACGGCAGTCAATTAAATATGACGATGTAAATAATGCTCTATCGAAACTAGTACATTGGTTTAACGCCAACAATTTGCTCTTAAACGGCAATAAGACAAAATGTATTAAATTTACAATACCTAATGTAAAACATTCGAAAACCAATGTGCTCTTAAATGGGGAGGAGTTGAGTCTTGTGGATACCACTGTTTTTCTCGGTATTACTATTGACGCGAAACTTCAATGGGGCCCCCATATATCTAAATTAGCAAGCAGACTTAGTTCTGCAGCATATGCTGTAAGAAAGATTAGAAGTCTCACAGATGTTGAGACAGCTAGGTTAGTGTATTTTAGTTACTTTCATAGCGTAATGTCTTATGGAATTTTGCTATGGGGTAATGCGACTGATATTGAAGCTATATTTGTTTTGCAAAAGAGAGCCGTACGGGCGATTTATAATCTAAATTGTAAAGAGTCCCTTAGAGAAAAATTTAAAGAAATAAACATATTAACTTTGGCATCGCAATATATTTATGAAAATGTAATGTATTACATAAAAACATAAATAGCTTTAATAAGAATAAGGATGTTCATACCTTAAACACTAGGAACAAACATAAGCTTGTAATGCCACTTACAAGACTCCACAGAATTAGTAATTCATTTATGGGGCAATGTATACGCTTTTACAACAGAATCCCAGAACATGTTCAAAGTTTGTCAATAAACAAGTTTAAAAGTTTTATTAAAGAAAAACTGTACAAAAAGGGTTATTATAATATCAAGGAATACATGAGTGAAAATAACCCCTGGGAATAAGGTGATCGCCACCATGCTGGTTCTATGAAAATTCATTTAAAATTGTATAATCAAAATTATTGTTAAGTGAAATTATGTTTAAAAAAAAAGTCCCGCTGGGTTTCTTGCTGGTTCTTCCCAGGACAGAGGTATTTTCCGAACCAGTGGTAAATAAAATAATGACTTTCAATAAGTATTATGTAATAATCCATATTGAATAAAAATCATTCTATTCTATTCTAAAAATCATTCTATTCTATTCTATTCTATTATAAATCCAGTCCTAGAAGAGTTAAATTTGGTATCCCACAAGGAAGAATCCTGGGGTTACTACTTTTTATTATTTATATAAATGATCCACCTAAATCTACTAACAATCAGATGATATTGTTGGCAGATGACTATACAGTAGTTGATAATAATTAAAATGTCAGAAATATTAGTTTAAAGTCAATAATTGTGTGGTTACAAAACAATAATTTTAT